AAAATCTTAAAAATAAATAAATGAATAAATAAATATAAATTTAAAAAATAAAATAATAATAAAAATAAAAGTTCAAAAGTAGGCATGTAAAAGGGACGGTGAGGCGCGCTTCATTCGTGGGTAGTTATGGCAGGACATGATGTTGCATTCATAAAGATGCTAATTTCCCCCAAGTTTGTTCCCAATAAAAATACATTTCTCCTGGAGCTAGACAAGTTAATTCTAAAGTCTATAGGAAAAGGTAGACATAAAAGAATAGCTAGAAAATCCCTGAAAAAGAGGAGTCATGGGACAGAACTAACCTTAACATATTAAACATTCCACACAATCTCTGTAATTAAAACTGTGTGTATTGGAGCATGAACAGACAGAGACTGACGGCACAGAATACAAGTCCAGAAATCATCCCAAATGTATATGAAAATAGAGACTGTGATAAAGATGGTATCTCAAGTCACTGGGAAAAAAGATGGACTGCTCAATAAATCATGCTGAGACAACAAGACAGCGTCTTCGAAAGTGGGTCTGTACTTTTTTTTTTTTTTTAAGACTTGGAGGCACATGCCAAAGTTCTCCTGAGACAAACCCTAATTCCCCCCACTTAGGGTAGCTCTCTTAAGGGCCTGACAAGCAAAATCACACACATATATAAATGCAGAGACCAAAAAATACAAAAACACTAATTCAAAGGGATACATGTACCGTTATGTTTACTGCAGCATTATCTACGGTAGCCAAGTAATGGAAGCAGCCCAAGTGTCCATCGACTGATGAATGGATAAGGAAGATGTGGTATATATACACAATGGACTATTACTCAGCCATAGAAAGGAATGAAATCTTGCCATTTGCAATGACATGGAAGGAGCTAGAGAGTATAATGCTAAGTGAAATAAGTCCATCAGAGAAAGACAAACACCATATGATTTCACTCATATGTAGAATTTAAGAAACAAACGAGCAAAAGGGAAAAAAGAGAGAGAGAGAGGCAAACCAAGAAACAGACGCTTAACTACAGAGAACAAACTGATGGTCACCAGAGGGGAGGTGGGCGGGGCGACGGGTAAATAGGTGATGGGGATTACAGCGTACCCTTATCATGAAGAAAAAAATAAAATCACATGATAAAAAAGAAATCAAACGAATACTCCTCAAGTCATATGGTCAAGCAAATAAATATACGCAGAGAACTCAGGCTGCTTAATAGGTTGAAATTTGGGCTTTCCGGAATCTCTCCCAACCCACAGTCCATTAATCCCTGTTCTCTGTATCGCTCTCAGCTTTCAGCGTTCGGCAGGGCTGACCCACGGCCGTCACTGCCACTTGGCAGGGGTACCAGGGCGTAGCCGTGTATGGGTCAGTGGGCCCTGCCTGCAAATTCTCCCCTGCCCGGGAAGGTCAGCCCCCACTGACCTCGTCGAAGGTGATTTCTTCGGAGTCCCAGTTCTCGATGTTGAAGAGCATGACCACCCGGCCATACTTGTCCCGAGTGGAAAGGACACCAGGGTAGCCGGCCTCCACGGTGCAGCGGACCGCCTCCAGGGACAGGCTGTCGAAGAGCTCGGGGTACTGCAGCCGGAAGTTCACGTAGCCTGGCGGAGGGGGAGTAGACGAGCCCCTCAGGGAGCCAGCCCCTCGGGGAATGGCACACAGCAAGATTCCAGAGACCCGGCCTCCTGCCTGGCTCCTCCACAAGCGTCCTGTGTGTGACCAAGCTGGGCACAAGCAACCTTTCTGAGCCCCTTGTCTCCTCTTCAAAACACGGTTGGCCTATCTCACCAAACTGCTGCAGTAATCAAATGCGATTCTAGGTATGAACCCGTAGACTGTGCCAACATGAGGCGTAATCCTGAATCCGAGGACGATTATTACTTGTTATTTTCTCTTGCCCACGGGCAGAGGTACAGGCTTCCCAGTTGGGCACAGGGTTAGCTGCGTAGAAAAGACCCCAAGATCAAACCTCAACCCCACGCAGAACCCAAAGGCCCTTCCTGACTCCAGAAGCACTTCTCCCACCCACAAACCCCCCCTTACCCGTCCTGAACAAGTCCCCGCCTCTCAACCACTGAACCCTAGAGGGACCAGGCCCAGGAGAGGTTCTTGGAGAGCATTTGCCTAGGGAATGCCACGGACCTCCTCACCGTTCCTACCACCCTCCAGGTATAGCCCCACCCCCATCTCATTTCCTTTGCATTTTTCTTCAGAAGTTCCCTTTGCCCTGGAGCCTTCCTGGCCACTTTACCTACAACTCCAACCCCTCGGGTCTGTACATCCACCTCCTTTATTTTTTCCTCATTATCCCTTCTTACTACCAAACAGTCTAGGTAATTTTATCTTATTTCTCTGGTTTATTATTCCGCAGTTAGCATATGAAGTCCATGAAGGCAGTTCCTGTCTGCTTTGTTCTCTGCTGCAGCCTTTGGGCTAAAAGAGTGGTTGGCACAGCGTGGCTGTGAATTCACTTTTGGGGAAGGAAGAAGTAAAAAAAGGAGAATCGTTAGCCTGCAGAGGGCCTGCTGGGACACCCCTTTCTCTCCCCCCTCCCCCCCCCCACTAAAGATTGGATTTCCTTAGGAAACCTGTCTTGAGCCAGCCAACAGGCCTAGGCAGTTCTGTCTTCAGGGCTCCTTCCCAGGGCTGGCACCATCTCCAGCCCCACTCTGCATGAGGCTTAGGTACCTGCAGGGCGACGGGCACACCCCCCCCCCTTTCCTGCAGCCATGGTCAGCCAAAGCCTAGGCTGGGGTGGGGGTGACGGGAACGCTCTCCAGGACTGGGAGAAAGGGGAGGGGAGCCAGACCTCTAGGAACGCGGAGGCTGTTGAGTTCACACCCCCCATTTTCCAGGTAAGGAGAAGGAGGCTCCGGGTAAGGATAAGGACTCTCACAGGGTAGGGAACGAGTGGGGAGTGGAGGGGACAGCCTCCTCCGTGCCCGGGTGAGAGTCAACGCCACCCTCACCACCTGGGCGCCCCAGCCTTCGGGAGGCGGTGCCTCGGGGCGCGGGTCTCACCTCTGAGCAGCTCGTAGGCGCGCCCCACGTGGAACTTCCGCGCGCGGATGAAGCGCAGGAAGAAGGCGCTGTCCCTTCCCTGCACGCGCTCGGCCACCGCCCGGGCCAGCTCGTGCCCGGAGGCCGCCTCGGCCTGCACCAGCTCCTGCAGCTCTCGCACCACCTCCTCCCGGGTCTCTTCCCGCTCGTTCAGCTCGTCCTTGGCCTGGAACGGGGTGGGGTGGAGGCAGCGAGGCCCAGACGGGCGCGCGCGCGCGGGTGCGGAGCAGGACGCCCAGGCGAGGAGTCCCCTGCTAGTGCCAGCCCGGCCGAGGGGCCGAGGGCTTGCCGCTGGGCCCCTGAGACTGGCGGTTACTTTCGCAGAACATTGGGTCAAACTGCGCATCCTGGGTTTGTTGGCAGGAGACCAACAAAGGGGTCAGCGTTTCTAAGGACAGCGGCTTCCCCTTCCTGGAGCCCTTACGTAGCACTCTGCTAAGTTAGCCTTGAAATACCGAAGGCCGAAACCCACCGCCATGAAGTGATTATGCACATCCCATATCTCAGGATGAGCAGACTGAGGCCCCTAGAAGTGAAGGTGACCCAGGCAGGAAGGGGTGGAGCTGGGGCTCACACTCAGGCTGGACTTTCAGTCACTTCTCTCTGCAGCCTCCCAGGCTTGATTCTGATCTTTTCAAAAACAAAGATACCCCGCAGAGGGGCACCTGGGTGGCTCAGTCGTTGAGCGTTGAGCGTCTGCCTTCAGCTCAGGTCATGATCCCAGGGTCCAGGGTTCAAGCCCCGCATCGGGCTCCCTGCTTGGCAGGAAGCCTGCTTCTCCCTCTCCCACTCCCCTGCTTGTGTTCCCTCTCTCACTGTGTCTCTCTCTGTCAAATAAATAAAATCTTTAAAAAAAAAAAAAAAAAAAAGATACCCCGCAGACCGCAGCCTGCCCCCTGCCCCAGAGCCTCTTATTCCTCCCCTTGTTTGGGTCTGCAGGACTCTTGCGCATGCCTCAGGCAGCTCTCTCCTTAGACAGCAGGAGTTGGGGGGGAAGGCAAAGGAGGGGGACTCAGGTCTGGGGGAACCCAGAGCGCCTTTTCCTTGGCAACAGAGATGCAAGCTAGGAGCCCAGGCTCAGCTCAGGCCAGGACAGCTCTGCCACTTTCTGCAGAGCACAGTCTGATCCTCTCTGAGCTGGTCCAACAACCTTCTTTCAGAGGTACAAAGGGCAAGACCCAGAGAGGGAAAGCTCCTTGCTCAAGGTCACACAGCAAGTTGAAAGTTAGGCCTGATTCTAGAACTCAGGCTTCTTGCCTATCCAGTGGGGGCAGCAGCTGGGTTCCCGTTCCCCTGGGCCACTTGCAAACCAGTGTTCCTCATATCTGCCTCTAGTCACCCAGGGGCTCTAGGTCCTGGCATTGATATCTGTTGGTGTTATAGTCTCGGATTAGGCTGGCCTGGATGCTGGTCAGCGCAGTGTGGCTGCCATGGCCCTGACCTCCAGAACGGCCCCTAGAACAGGCCAGTCCATTCGCTCCAGGATATCCTGGAGAGCTGGGGCTGGACCCGTCCTACAGGAGAGAGGATGCTGTCAACATTCCCCCTTGTTCGCCCGCCCCAGCCCGCCCCTCCCTGCACCCAGGGCCACCTCACCTTCTGTAAGGTGTGGCGGGGGAGCTGACTGCATGGGCCAAAGACAGGTCCATGGTCCTTGGTCGTAAGCCGCTCCAGCTGGGCACGGAGCTCTTGTTCCTCTTCAGGGACCACTCGGAACGTGCCCACCTAGGCAGAGAGAAGTCAGGAAAAAGCAGGGAGAGCCCCCCATCAGCTTGAGCAGGCCAGTGCAATGGGCCTGCTCGGACCCTAAACTAGTACTTTTGTCCAAGGTCACTGTTAAGCCTTCTCCCTTTGGGTGGGGTCCCGCACCACAAAGGGATTGTACGGGTGGAGTGCCCATAAGGGTCCTGAGCAGACCAAACAATAGAGAAATGGGGAGGGAGAGAAGGAGGAGGGAAGGCAGATGGAGGGGAGACCAGAGCACAGGGGTACTCACGCCCTCTGACATGCTGCCTCTCTGGAAGACTCAGAGTCCTCAGAAAAATAAGGGCCTCACTTCTGTGCTGGCCTCTCCAGGCGGCCTCCTCCCTAGGGCAGGAAGTCAAGGGGGCAGTAGTCTGGACAGACCATTCTCTTATTGTCTCAGAACAATGGATCTCAAACTTTTGAGTGCATAAGAATCGCCTGAGGAATCTGGTAGAAATACAGGTGCCTGGGTCCTGCATGCACCCTATGATTCCGACTCAGGAGGTCTGAACTGGGGCCAGGAATCTGCATTTTAAAGCAGCACCCCCACCCCCACCCCCATCACCACCACGGCCCTGAAGAAAATGATCCTTGGGCTACACTTTGGGAAAGACTCCTTTGAGAAGGAATACACACAAATACCGCAAACCTTAGTTCTTTTTTTTTTTTTTTAAAGATTTTATTTATTTGAGAGAGAGAGAATGAGAGAGAGAAAGCACATGAGAGGGGGGTAGGGAAGAGGGAGAAGCAGACTCCCCGCTGAGCAGAGAGCTCAATGCGGAACTCGATCCCGGGACTCCAGGATCATGACCTGAGCCGAAGGCAGTCGCCTAACCAACTGAGCCACCCA